GGGCTTAAGCTAATCGGAAACCACAATACGTTGTGCTTATAATTAATGAAAAGAAATGCATGCCACAGGCGGATTAAATATTTCTTCTCTTTCGAACGCGGGTGGGGCCGGAGGGTGCGCGTGTCTGTCACCATAGGCCCGGTACGGTAGGGGACGGGCAGGGCCGGAGAGAGACAACGTACTGCTTCGAACCAAACGTAGAACAGCGCGCGGGGCGGGTAGGGAGGGAGGTGGGGTGGTGAACCCAGCTATGTTGCGTCCCCCCGCCCCGCCCGCCACGCCACGCCCCACCACGCTCCGCCACGGACGAGCGGGAGGAGAAAGTGCGACGATGGAAAGAGGTGTGTTGTGTATGCGCACGCGGGGGGACCCGCCGGCCCGGGGCAGGAAGGCGGGGGTAAGCGATGCTCAAACTGGAACCAAACATCAACACCTTAGAGAAAATCCTAATCCCCGGATGGGTGTACCGGAGTATCGACTGGGCCTCATCGCAGCGAGGTGCACACCAGACTGCACTTTTAAAAATGTTGGTCGTAATTTTACAGACGACTTTGTTAAAGTTTGTTGGTATGACCGTTTAAAAACGATAAATGTCGTTGCAATTGACGACCTAGTTCGTCTATAGGCGCGCCCGTCATTCGCAGTTGCGAACCTGCTTATCTCAGCGTCTTTTTTGAAGCTCTCGGAGCGCCTGATTGGTAGGCAACATCTTGCCTGCAGAGCATGGGTGTACGGCGGGGTGGCCTACCCCGAGACTCACAGGCGCCGAGCATCCGTAATGTACCGAGTTCATCTGAAAAAAAATAAAGACCGGACGCACTATGTGCAGCATGATTCCTTACCTGACGACAATGCTGTTCTGGTGCAAGAAATGTGCTGGTTTTGCAGTTGCAGTGGAGCTGCGTTTGTTGTCTTTTAATAAACAAGAATATGTCACCACACAGAATAAGTCCGTATCTGGACCATTTTTTGTTTTCATGGTGTGGCCACTCACATACGTGTTGTTTTTGTTGTTGTTGTTGTTGTTGTTGTTGTTGTTGTTGTTGTTGTTGTTGTTGTATCGTTCTTACGGGTTTAACCTATACAGACTGCTTGCGTGTGTGTTGGTTATTTCCAGAGAATAAGGATGTGATTCCACACGAATCGGTTGACTCACCCCCCCCCCCTTCCCCTCCTTCTTCGCCATGCATTTATACCGCGGACCCAAACTGGATATCCACGGGGCGAGATGAAAATATATTATCAGATGCAATATTCTCCACGACGACCTTCGCCTTGCAGCCCCCGCACCGGGTACTTCCTGTCCTGGACTGGTTCCCGCCGTCCCGTCCGCCGTCCGTCCGGGCGCTTCTGCCCATAGTGTTACCAACTGGGCAGGCAAAAAACAAATAGACACGAATAGACACACGGTCTGAATTTCGCCTGACCAGGCAACCCCAACCCCTCGGCACTAGTGAGTAAATGTTGCATTAGTTGTCAGGTGAATAATTACTCATGTTCGCAAAACTGCTTCTGCCTGTTCGCATCCCTATCAGAATGGC